ACATGAAATGAACAACCTAAGAGAGGTCTACCCAAGGTACATATACACCAAGTATCAAAGCATTCAGGCTTGTAGTTTTCAAGAAGAAGTCGAAAAAGTAAAACATTGACACGGACGACGAACGACGACGACGGACAATCACTCATATGATAAGCTCCGCTCGACAAAGTCGACAGCGGAGCTAAAAAACAAAACCACCAAATCACAAACCAAATGACCTTGACATTTTTAATCCAGTAAAAATGGAAGGTTTAATTCTAGTACTAGAATTAATTCAAAATAAAAAATATTTTAACCGTTATTACCTTTTGTGTCAGAGTTTGATGTGAAGCTTTAGAGCTGACAGCCGCCATTACTGTAGATACATTCAGATTGATTGGTGTACCAAATGGAAGGGCATAGTGTAGATAGGTACGTAGATCATGCAGCTTGGAAGAATTCTATAAAACAAAATATAAATAACGCAAATCTGAATACAATATTTAAAGATAAAGGCGAGAATGTTTGTATAACTTTTATAAATTTAATTGACAGTGCTGAAAACCACTTGGCCAAATCACAATGACATTTGTATTGCACTGTAAAATACTTTATTTTAGCTGGAATTAATTTTCGCTGAACTGACTTTTTGGGTCTTTTGTGTGAAATTTATTTTCACTGATTTTTGACCAGTTGAATATAAAATATAGGAAAAAAGCTATATTCACTGGATTTAGATTCACTGAATCATTGTGAAAATAGCGAAAAATTAATTCCAAGCAAAAATAAAGTATTTTACATTATTTGCATTATTTTTCACCTAATTTTAAAAACAAAAGTTCTAAAGATGCCTTTGACTGATTTAAATGGCGACTGAATACATGCCTTTACATACATTTTTATTTTCAAACAAATTTGATAGAATATTTACGGCAGTGTTATAATCTTTTGGATAATTTGCATAAATATATGTCTTCTGAAGTTGATGAAAACCTCCCATTCAGGAGTAAATGTTTTATAAATCAATTCCATAACAATATTCTTGCCTTTTTATTAACAATTATAACTTTTATTTAAGAAATATCTCACCTGGTCAATTTTTTGTTGTGATGGACCAAGAAGTTCCGCTATATGCAAAAGCAAAGAAAATCCAATGGATATTCCAGGACTACAGAATAAATAAAAATATAGTTTTGTATGTGAACAAAAATTAAATGTCAGATGATGCAAATCAACATGTATAATGTCATTACTGTTGAATCAAACAAATCATCAGACTAGTCAAGTTTATTTTCAGGGTCAAAGCCATTGCACCCTGTGTTCAAATATATGCATTGAAATTTTGTGTAAATACTGTAAAATACTTTATTTTAGCTGGAATTAATTTTCACTGAAACGATTTTTGGGTGTTTTGTATGGAATTTATTTTCACCGATTTTTGATGAGTTGGATGTAAAATATAGGAAAAAAGGTATATTCGCTGGATTTTATTTTCACTGAATCATTCCCTCAGCGAAAATATCGAAAATTAATTCCAAGCGAAAATAATGTATTTTACAGTATTGGATAAGCAGTCCCTCAACTATATGTCAATGTGGTGTACTTACAGTACCCGGTAATGCATTTACATTGCTATGCAACGTATGGGACCCATATCAAAAGTATGTGCTTGTGATGACAACTGCTTTTTAAGCGACCACGTCGTCAGAACAGCGCACATGTGCATTGCACTATTATTATCTCTGGATGATCTATACCAAAATCAGGCACAATACATGTGATACGAAGTTCAAAATATTGCTAACGGTCAACACAATAGTACGATATATTGAAGATAA